TTGAACGCAGGAGGCAGAGGTTGCAGTGAACCGAGACTGCGCCACTGCACTCCAGCCTGGCGCCTGGCGACCAAACAAGACTCTGTCTCAAAAAAAAAAAAACAAAAAACTTCTTCACTATCAAATATTTCAAGGGTTTGGAAGCAAGAGTGTTTTGTTAGTTTTAGAAAAAAATTTTACTCACTTTATATTTAAAATGCTTCTGTTGAGGGTAAGTTGCTATACTATCTCTTTATACGTAATTTGTGCAGAACAAACACATGTATCTTTTAGTTTAATGAAGAAAAATTGAAAATTAGAGCAGCCCAAAAAATATTCCCTATAATATTATAATTTAGTGTATTATTGCCAAGTTAACTTTTTTCTAATTAGATATTTGGTAGGTATTATAAACCCAATATTTACAAGATGACTAGATATTCAATATGTTTAGGGAATAGATCATAAGAGTTCTTCTAACTATTGTTTAGAAATCTACATATTTGTCATTATTTATGTGACAGTATCAATGCGATAATACTTAAACATTGTGTTACTGATTCTGGTCATGGTATTATGTCAAGAACTAGTATCATCTTTTGGGTCTCCTGCTGTTATGAATGCTGAAGTATTAATGCATTGCATTTGCATATTCCAAGCCCATTTCCATTAAATAACATTGTCCAAATGACTTAACAATCTCTGAACATATATGGTATGATGCAAAGTGTACTTCCTAGCCATTAGTAACACTTTTTAAATTTTTTTCCTTTTTGGGGAGTTGGGGTCTCACTATGTTGTCCAGGCAGGTCTTGAATTTCTCGGCTCAAGCTCAACTTCCACTTCTGCTTCCCTAAGTGCTGGGATTATGGGTATTTTTTCTTAGCCATTAGGGCTTGATGAAAATGTGACATTGTGCTAAGGCAAACAGTTGTCTGTCTGAAACAGACAACAGGAGTGTAAACTACAGCCTTAGTCACCGGTAGTAAGGACTGAAAAATCTAAAATTCTTTAAGATAAATGTATTGCCCAAGACGGTGGTCACTCACTGTCTTCTGTTGGAAGTGTCTTGGATATTGGTTCTGTTCTGCCAGTGTGACGTGGTAATCGCCCTATAAACTGCATACCTCGACCACACCTCGGCTTTTCCATTGAAACTGCTCTCTGTAACGCTAATGTGACAGGCAAGCAGTCCAAACCCACGCCATCTTGACCCCCTAAGACTTGTAATAAGTAACTAAGGTCTGTAATTTCCACCCTACCCAGACAATGTGTAAACTAACGCTTATCATGACTTCTGTGAACCACATAAGTAACAATCGGAATGTCCAAAGTCCTCTGGCCCTCGGAATGTCTGAAGCCCCTCACCTCCACCCCCGCCCCTCACCCTCACCCCCAAGGTGGTTTACAGGCATAAAAGGTCTTGACTCTCTCCTTTCGGGGCCACGGGTTGGAGAGACGGGAGTCCTCCGTGGCCGCCGGCAATAAAGACCCTGCAATTTGGCATACTTCTGTCTTGGTGTTGACTCTCTATGCTCGCTCCAGTACAACACCAATACGTGTGAGGCTGCGCAGCTCATGGTCAGAGCCTGCTGTCAACAAGACTGCAGTCCTGACTCTAGTTCATGGCTGGAGATGGCATCTTCAGTCCTGCCTGAGTGAAGGGATCTGAGCAAATCAGTGATCAAAGGAAAGTAAGAGAAGGAAACAAATCCAAAATTCATAGGACATGAGTGCAATCTTCATATTAAAAGAAAAATATGTAATTTCAAAGTACACAGCTTGTATGAAGAAAAAAAAAAGGTCTGTAAAACAGCCTCTTTGTCAAAGCAAAGTAACAGCAATACAAATAATTAAAGCTAAAATGCTTAATGCTTCAAGAACATGAATTATGTGCTTATGGTTCACAACAACTCCCGAAGTGGGCCTGGCAGTTATCAGCCTATTTTTTAAAGGACAAAAAAGCAGCTCAGAGGCTAACTGACTTGTCCTAGGGTTACATGGCCAGAGCACCGCCTTGGGCAAAAGCCTTTGCCTACAGGTATCGCAAACGAGGGTAACAAATAATGACAATTCAATACCCAAATACTCAAGTGAATGGCATCTGATATCTGACAAGAGAAAAAGAACACCTTGAAGGGTCTTAAAGACACTACTGAGGGCAGCTTGGGTTACCGTTAATGGCACCAGGTAGGAATAATTTCTAGTCACCAATTCATTACTTGCTTCATTAAGATAGGTTACCTTTGCAGCCAATTTTATCAATCCCGCTTTATGAAACTGTGGCTGGGCAAATGATACGTAGTGTCAGGCTTCCATGTGCAAGCCCGGGCCCAGAAAGTCTAAAGTCCTGCCTGCCTCAGCTGATCACCACCGCACCCCCTCCCCATCCCGCCCAGCCTGCCTGCATTCGCCATTATCTCTCATCGCCCAGCTTCCCCCAGACATAAGCTTCCCCTCACCCGACCCTGCCATGTTAACTGCTCTTAGCCTTACTCCACCCGCCATTGTAACTGAACTTATGGTAATGTATACTCCTTTCCCCTGCCCCGTAACACCCCTGCCCCCTCCCAAAAGATTTGCCCCAACCTATAAAACCAACTCCTATCCCACTGCCCTTCGGCCTTAGCCCACCTGCACCCAGGTGAGTAAACAGCCATGTTGCTCACACAGAGCCTGTTTGGGGAGTCTCTTCATTCAAAGTGCCTGTTTTTAACACCTAGTAGCTGATATTTAGATATGTTTGTGATCCCTGGGCACTTTCAGCCTTGCTCACTTCAATTGCATTAAACTCTTTGAAACAATCTTCCACAAACTGTTATTTCCCTTAAAAGTGAACATAGGGAAACTGATGAATTTCCTTACAGTCAGCAAAGCGGTACTGAGTCTCAGTATAAGAAGGCTGAGTTATTAATTAGATGTTAAGAATCTCATTAATTACGGTTTTACAGTCTCCTTTATAGGCACATAAAAGATTCATGTCTAAACAGATTTCCAAGTGGCCAGAATACTCTTTAAAAGGTGATAAGAAAATGAGTTAAGAACATTGAAAAAGTGCATCATGCCTAGTTAGGCCCAACCTGTGTTCACATTGTGGGATCTGAGCTGGCAACAGTGATGTGGTCAGTTTCCTGATAAGTGACAAAGTAAGGCAGGCCTTGCTTCAAAGAGCCAGGCCTGGCCAGCCATGGTGGCTTATGCCTGTAATCCCAGCACTTTGTGAGGCCAAGGCTGGTGGATCACTAGAGGCCAGGAGTTCAAGACCAGCTTGGCCAACATGGCAAAACCCTGTCTCTACTAAAAATAAAAAAAAGGCAGCCAGGCGTGGTGGCAAATGCTGTAATCCAGCTACTTGGGAGGCTAAGGCATGAGAATCATTTGAACCCTGGAGGTGGAGGTTGCAATAAGCCAAGACTGCACCATTGCATTCCAACCCGGGTGACAGAGTGAGACTCTGTCTCAAAAAAACCAAAAATACGAAAAACTAAAAACAAAGAGCCAGGCCACAGGCAGATCACCTCCTTAACACCCAGCACACTGGCTCTGCTAGGCTAGCCGTGCGCAGGTGAGATGAAATCATGCTAGGCAGTGATGGTTCTTGTTAGCAAAGCTTTCCCTGCTTGCATGGGCCTGATGATGAGGGTAATGATGGGTGTAGGTCTTTAGGATGTTTTTTGTTTGTTTGTTTGTTTTTGTGAGATAGAGTCTCACTCTGTCGCCAGGTGCCAGGCTGGAGTGCAGTGGTGCAATCTCGGCTCACTGCAATCTCTGCCTCCTGGGTTCAAGCAATTCTTTTGCCTCACCCTCCCGACTAGCTGGGACTACAGGCATGCACCACCACGCCCAGCTAATTTTTTGTATTTTTTTTAGTAGAGACGGGGTTTCACCATGTTGACCAGGATGGTCTCGATCTCTTGACCTCGTGATCCACCCGCCTCGGCCTCCCAAAGTGCTGGGATTACAGGCGTGAGCCACCGCCCGCGGCCTGGATGGTGTTTTGTTATGGCAGCCTGAACTAAGATAGAGATGGATTTCTTATTAATAGAAATATAGGGAGAGCATTGAAACTTGGTTGAGGGGAGGGGTAGCTTTGTGGTAGGAACATCAGCAAAAATGTGCTTTTGTATTTGTAATGCATGGAACTGCAAATCATGCAAATAGATTAGGTGTTTTATAGCTTTTGTACAATGCTGAATGATGTTATTGAGCAGATAAACTGCTGAACAGATGTTAAGTAGCTGTTTGTGATGACCCCCTTGGTTCCCCTTGTAAGGTAAGAACATCAAATCAATGATGTAACACAAAAGAGGGAACAGGAAGGAAATTCTTTAAAATTTCCAACTTATAAGCCTTTTCAAAAATATTAAAAGAGGAGAAATCTGCAGCCTTTATAGCCTGTTAATGAGAAGTTCTCTTTACATACTTTCAGTACAATGGCTTAAATTTTGTAAAATAGCAGTGTAATTCAAGTCTTATTTTGGGCTCTTTAAGACTGAAAACAAGGAAAGGCATAGTTTTCCTGGATCATAGAAAGAGATTAGATAATTTACCTTATGGCTATATAAAGATCAATTGCCAATGTTTAGAGAAGCATCCAATTCATCAGTGTGGTACAGAGGCACACTGAAAGCTCTGAGTTCTTGTGTAGGTAATGAGATGGTTATATGCAATAGCTCAATAAGTGAAATAGAGAAAACATTGTGCTCGCTAAAATTTTGTTATTGATTTCAAATGAGAAATTCTCTGCAATGTTGAATTGATGTCAGGAAGGCATAAAGAAAAGGCTCTTTAAAGAGACACTACCCTAATAAGTGCTTGAAATTGCAAAGTGTAGCATTATAGTATGTTTTAGAATAAAATGAAATCATTAGCTAAAATTTGCTTGATTTTGCAAATGAGATTTATCGTGAATGTTTCCCAAATCCCCCAGCACCTGCACTATTTGCCGTGTAAGCCTTATATAGTTCTAGAATTCTCTAAAATTTGTACATTCGACAAATATAAAAGACTCATATACCTACATTCAGCTGGGTGCTTCTAATAAAATCCAATATTGGCAAGATTCGCTTCCCCATTGTCTCCATTTGTCTCACTGTATCTTCTCTGGTCAGCAGACCGAAAGGAGTTTTATGCTCTAAAAATTGTAACAATAAACTTTTATACTATTTTCTCCAGACTTCCATCTCGAAATGTTTTCTTTAGCAAGCTATAAACAGATATCTCAGTATTAATAGATATGAAATCTTTAGTATAGAAGCTAGTCCCATCCGTAGACCATATGTATAACAAGGAAAGATCTATGGGGAGACAGGCCGAGGAGATGCTGCCCTTTAGAAACTGTCATTTATTTATTTTGTTGTGTTTCTTGATTGAGAGATCTCAGAGGCAGCCTATAACAATTGACCTGTCTCTTCAGAGTATGTTTTTCCTGAGTTGGGAAAAAATGTCATAAATGTGTCTGATTCTTGTCTTGTTCCTCGTAGGTATTATTCAAGTGTGCAGATCCATTGACTTTGAACGTAGCTCGAAGTTCAGATAAGCCTCAGAGGCTACAGTGCCAGACAAAACACAAATTCTTAATTATCTGGTTAGAGCTGCAGGAATAAATTTAACCTGGTCATGAATTCAGCACATAAGTTTGAGATTTCAACTCCATGTGAATATTTTGATTTTTGAAAGTTTCAACCGGGATTACTGAACACCATTTAACTGTAATACTCTCCAAGAGATTTAAGCTCTTGGCTAATTACATAAAAAAAGAGAGGACCAGACATTAACACAACAACAGATAATACAACTAATTTAAGATTGTCATTGGCCATATTTTTAATTTCATAGAATAATTTCATTGCATAATTTTCTTCTACCTTTGCTAATTGATTATGATGAAAATTAGTATTAAGTGTCCTATGATTAGACATGGGCGATAGTGTGGGTGGAGTAAAATGATTAGACTGAATAGGGTGGATATTCCAGGATTGTGTATGTTCTTGGGGGAAAGAGTTCCTGGAGCCAGAATTCCAGGCATTGTTAACTAACCCACAAAGAAGATTCAGAGGAGTTCATTTTAACTTAAACATTTTTGGGGGGGCCCAAAACTCATCACAGGACCTACTGTATGCTAGACCCTGTAGGTTCAGATGATTTACCTGTGAATACCGGCAGCTTCCTATTTGTTATTTTTTCCAAAAATTTTCCATCTTCTTTGTTTTTGAACCCAAGAGTCAAGAGATATTGTTGGGGAGGAAAAGATGACCAGTCAGCTGTCTGAGGCAACATGTGGAGTGCCTGAAGATCTGAAATACGACAGAAAGGGAACTAAGAGGCTTTGTTACGGTTTTAATGGTTCAGGGCTTTCCCCCACAGATTTCAGGAATTGCACTTGGAAAAGTGATAAGTATAAACAGGAAAGGTATGAGGTAAAATTATGTATATCAAAAGGTCAAATAGTTAACAACAAAATCATATTTCATTATAGTTTTCTTAGTAATCTAAGCATACACAAAGCATAACAGTAAAATACGGCTAGATTACACGGTTATCTTTCCCCATTTTCAGAATAAGAGACATTCAGGACCAGCTTACAGGCTTAATATTTTTAGCTGTGACTCTTTTCAAGAGAATTTGATTTTTTTTTTTTTTTTTTTAGATGGAGCCTTGCTCTTGTTGCCTAGGTGCTGGAATGTAATAACGCGATTTTGGCTCACCGCAACCTCCACCTCCTTAGATCAAGTCATTCTCCTGCCTCAGCCTGCTAAGTCGCTGGAATTACAGGTGCCCATCACCATGCCCAGCTAATTTTGTATTTTTAGTAGAGATGGGTTTTCACCATATTGGCCAGACTGGTCTTCAACTCCTGACCTCAGGTGATCCACCCTTCTTGGTCTCCCAAAGTGCTGGGATTACAGGCGTGAGCCACCTGCCTGGTCAAGAATTTGATTTTTCTCTTCATAGCTTAAGATGTAATGAAATAATGTTAGTTATAAAAAAAAAGGAAAGAGAAAAATTACCAAGTGAGAATTAAAATATAAAGCTAATTAATTTAGTTACCATCCTTCATATAGCCATAGGAGGAAATTTAAAATGATAAATGCACTGACTATTATAATTAAACTTAGAAATAATTCGTGTCATGAAAATGGTTCTAAAACAGACTCAATTCTTAATGACCGTAAGAGCTAATTATTTACTGAGTACTTGTTTTCTATCTGCCCCTGGTCAAGAGTTATGTATGCACTGTTTTTTGAATTCCATACAATAACTTCACAAGACTGGTGGTATTGTCCCCCTTTATGAATAAGGGGTTGAGGGACACAGATGAGAAGTCAGTTACCCAAGAGCACAGCTCCAAAGAGGGCAAAGCCAGATTCACCACCAGGTAGTCCAGACACCACAGGGACAGCCACCATACTCTTCTTCAAGATTACTTGGCACTGGATCACTTTTGGGGTAGGGATAAAGGCCCACCTTACAGATGATCAGACTGGTGCTTCAAGAGGTTACAAACTTGCCCAAGATCACCCATTGAGCAAACACAGGAACCAGAATTGAAAGCCAAAGGCTAACCACTCAGGGACCTGGAGGCAAGATTCACTTCATTCATTTCCATTTTGAGTAACAAGTAATAAACCGATTTATTAAAGTAGATTTATACTTTAATCGGTTTATTAAAGTAGATTTCTCAAACGAAGGATGATGAACAGAGAGGTTTAATAAGCCCTCTTTGTTTAACACTACCAGAAAGGGGAAAAGGCAAAATCCCAAATATTGGTGAATGATGGTTTAGTTAAAGACAGGATTTTAACGTAGACTCAGAACTCAAATGGTAATGGTTTGAATACAGCCTTCACTATTTGTCTGTAATACTTCTTTTAAAAACAAGACAGTACAGCATGAGTGGTTTTTTTGTTTGTTTTGAGATGGGGTTTCGCTCTTGTTGCCGTGGCTGGAGTGCAATGGCAGGATCTTAGCTCACTGCAACCTCCACCTCCCAGGTGCAAGAGATTCTCCTGCTTCAGCCTCTGGAGTAGCTGAGATTAAGCACCCACCACCATGCCTGGCTAATTTTTGTATTTTTAGTAGTGACAGGGTTTCATCATGTTGGCCAGGCTGGTTTCAAATCCCTGACCTCAGGCAATCCACTTGCCTCAGCATCCCAAAGCGCTGGGATTTACAGGCATGAGCCACCGCACCCTGCCACCATGAGTGTTTCCTTTAACACCACCCCCCTTTTTAAGCTGCAGAACCTTTTGTTCAAACTAAAATTTTCTGACAAGCCCAATATTAAAACCCAATAAAAAGTAGGGCATTCTGTTTGAA